GCAACAGCTTTCAGCTACCTTAACAGCTACATCCATCACTTGTACTACTCCATCTATTGCCTCCGCAACTACTCCAGCAGCTCCTTCTACTACTTCCATTTCCACTCCTTCAATTGATGCTTCAGCCATGCCCTCTACCACCGCTGTTACTGAAAGAGCTTCCCCCACTGCAGACAACGCTACCTCCTCAGCCGCCTCCTCTGCTGCTGACAGCACCGCCCCAACTGTTTCTTCTTCGACTGCTGTTGTCAACGCAGCTGCTCCTTCTCCTTCTGCCAGTACTGCTGCCACTTCTGGTGTTTCTCCTGTCATTGATGTTGTCATCTCTTGTGTCATTTCTACTTTTCCTTCATCAGTTTCTTCTTCTTCTTCTTCTTCTACTGGCACGTCTGTTTCTATAGTTGGTAAAACTTCTGCAGTCCCAGTTTCTTCTTCGACTAGTTCCTCTGTTCCATCTTCTGCTTCAGCATCTTCGGCTTCTTCTTCCAGTGTCGCTGCTTCATCTGTTATTGATGCGCTCACTTCCTCTTCATTTGTCTTCCTAAAAATTTTAAGTAGTTTTGAGAAAATATCAGCTCCCGTTTTTGCTCCAGCGACGCTCCTTTCCACTGCTGTTTCTTTTGTTGGAGTTCCTTTATTCAGTGTAGATACTGACTGTGTTTGTGCTTTTCCTCCTGCCTTTACCGCAGTTACTCCTTTACTTGTTTCTTCCTTTGACACTGTTTCTATTCTCTTCTTCCTTGCTGCTTGTTTGATTGTACTGACTCCTTTTATAGCTAGAGGTACAAGTGCAACAAACTCCAATCCACCAAGCAAAGCTGCAATTAGCAGGCCTTTACCTGCGATGCGTGCAAATTTAGCCAGGTGCTGTTTATAGACTCCACTTTTAGCTCTTTCCCTGGCTTCTTCTGAAGACATAGTCACTGATGTTTGTTTAATATGCTCTGCCTCTTTCTGTATTTCTGTCTCTATTGCTTGTAGTAGGTCATTAGTGTAATAACCACCTTTGTTTTCCATCACTATATCATCAATGGTTTTCAAAAGCTGTTCCACTTGGAACTTGTTGCTCCTGTATTCATTCTTTGCCTCATTATTCCAGTATTTATTATCTATAACGTGGCATCGGCCTCCACACTTCTGAACGAGATCAGCCAGGCATTTGCTCTGACTGACGAACTCTTCAATTTTCATTTCCTCCAGCAGTTGGTCACCGTGAGTGAAAAGAATTACAGCATATCGTAAAACCTCCTCGGAGAAATGCTGGAACATGTTTTCGATGACAGACTTTTCATGATCTGTGAATTTCTCCACTTTAAGAACAACGATAAAGGCATGAGGCCCAGGAGCACACTCAACAATACATTGCAGTATGTTGGGCTTCATGTCCTCTTCTGATCTGCTTGTGTCAAAGAAGCCGGGCGTGTCAACCAAAGTTATGGATCTTCTGTTAATGAGTTTGGACTTGGAAATGCAAATGCTCGTCTCTGAGTCAGGGGAATGGCCCATTTTGAACGTGGTTTCTCCAAATAAAGTGTTTGCAACACTGCTTTTTCCAGCTCCCGTTTTCCCGAGGAGGACAATCCTCCGTGTTGGTGGCACTACAAAAAAAAAAAAAAGGTTTCAGAGTAACTTTGGTTTTTTGTTTTTCACATTTTGTTTCTTGCATCATTTCTAATGTTATTTTTCAACTTTATTCCTCAGAACCAAAAATGCTTCATGTAAGCATGACAGTCTCAGTCAGTAATCATATTACACTCTGCTCACTTGCTGTAAAAGTATATTATCTATGTCTCTGTCAAGTTTATAGAGAAAATTTAAAGTTCATAGAAATTAGAACTAGAAATTTAGGACATTATGTCTTACACATTACCTATATATATAATATCTTGGGATTACATTGCCACAACCTCTTCACAATAGTTGCAGCTTTCCTTATACTGCACTTTACCATCCAGAGATAGTGAGACTGAGACTAGGACACAGCATAATGTTGCATAATGTTGCATAATGTGAGCCAACTGGAAGCAACAAAAAAAGAATACATTGTTAACATAGAATAAATTAGCACAGTTGATAGAATTGCTTTTATTTTCTTGAATTATTAACACAACTTTAGTCACAATGATGCAAATAAAATTTGTATTGCAGTATCTGGAAAAAAGATATTGTGTGATGAATAAAGTAGCTACAAATGTACATGGATGATAATAGAAACAAACTTAACTTACCATTCATGTTGGCAAGAAATAGAAGTGCAACAGGTGGATAGATCCTGAAGTCCAAGTGTTTGATGTCCCTTACTTATCTGTGCTTGCATTTGGTTGCCTCTACCTTTACTTACAAACTTTATACTGATTGACTTCCTTATTGGCTGACAGATGCTGAACTGCATTAACCTGTGAATGTGAGACGAGAGGCAATGTTTAACCAGATTAGCCTACAGATATCTTATGGTCCCACTATTGAAACTCAGTTTCACTGAAATACCTGGCACATCCCAGCCACTGCTATCCGGCTCCAATGGCTACTGGATATTTACACTATCAGTCAGTTTAGACACAACTTCTGATTTAATGTTTTTTTTTTTATTTTCATGATTATTTATATTGTAGATCTCACTGAAGGCATCTAAAGTATGAATGAAACATGTAATTATGTAGTAAACAAAAAAGTGTCAACAAATGAAAACTCAAAACATGTTTTATATTTTAGATTCCTCAGAATAGCCACCTGTGTGGATGTGTGACTTTGATTACTTTGATTACAGATTTCCACTGGTCTAATGTCCATTCCTTGTGTTTCTTAGCCCAAACAAATCTCTTCTGCTTGCTACTTTTCTTTAGTTGTGGTTTCTTAGCTGCTATTTGACCATAAAGGCCTGATTTGCGCTGTCTCCCCTGAACAGTTCATGTAGAGATGTGTCTGGTACTGGAATTCTGTGTGGCATTAATATGGGCTCTACTCGGAGGTGCGGTTAAAAAGTGGAGCGGA